GTTTAGAGCTCGCTCAAGAGTGCGAGCTCTGAGCAACTAGCGGTTCAATTCCCGGCCTGAGCTGAGCTGCCACCAGGTGGCAGGATGGCTCAGCTAAAAAAGTAATAAATAAAATGAATACTCATTCTGTTTATGCTGGTATAAAAATTTACATTGGAGAACTTTTACATTTATGTGCACTATATATTTTATTGACAGTTACACGTTTTACTATTTTGTATTCATTCATAATTTTTGCGACTTTACTTTTATGATACATTACTAGACACAGGATATATTTGATTTTGGAGTAAAAATCTTAGAATGTCTAAAATGATTATGGCTTTGGTCAAAGAAGTAATCATCTACTCTTATATAAAAGGAAAAATACGGTCTGTTTCATACTAACCCAAATTATCACTATTTCCCAAGAGGCTGGACAGAAAACAATGGGAACTATTTACATAAAGAAAGCTTAAAAAAACCCCACACAAAACAATGCAGAATCCCTTTAAGAGTAATACAAAATTATTCTTGCCCATGTTAACAGGTAGTTCAGATCATTTAAATTTCTGTGGCACAGCAAAACAACTGTAATATTTAATTTTGAAAATAACAAACCAACACACTTTTGGTGATCGAGGATCTGGTGAACGAGCAAAGAGCTCATCTTCAGGCAACTGAACACTTGAGGAAACAGATTCACAAGGACGTGTACCATTGTAGATATGGAATTTGCAATGAGGATTTAAGGCCATGGAGAGAAGTTCTAGAAGTGGAAACCAGTCTTGGGACAACTTGGCCACACATAGCTCCACCAGGCGATGAGTATTGTTGATAATACATCTCTGTTATATTAAGGGGGAAAGGTAATTTGTAATATCAAAACATTGCAATTCCAAACAGAAATATTTTTCAACCTTAAGTAATTATATTTTAATGATCTCTCCGTTTTTCTATATTGATCATTTGGATTATGTTGAATTTCACTAACTGGAATCAAATTGATAAAAAAAAAAAGGCAAATTAGCATTTACTTTATAATTTACTCTATAATTTATATAATAACCATTTTCAAAGGACATTTGTCATGGCTTACAAAATGAAGAAGGCAATGCTCTATGTCCCCAGGCAAGATGCGAATTACCACTGCTCTATCCTTGGAATTTGTATACTAGAGGGAGCAACTCTAAAATCTAAACAATGTATCAATTATCCAAGATGAAGTAGATTTGCTAAGCTTCAATGCAAGAAGTCTGACACCACTTCCAGAGTTTCCATTTCTATACTTAATAGTACATTTTCCTAGATTGAAGGTGTTTATAGAAGAGATTTGTGTTTGCTTCTGCCAGGTACCTGGCAACACCTCAGGCCACTTTAAATTCTCCATTTGAGGATTTTTGTGTATCACAACTATAATTTGAACTCAGACTACCAAACTGAATATAAGCTGGTGGTTTCAATTTTCCGATTTTTTCCCCTTTACCAGATGCCAACGTTGAGGAATGCAGGTTTCTCTGCTTTTTCTGTATGGTAAATTTATTCCTTGACATTAACCCTTTGTGTGCCAGATATTAGATTATCTGTCCTGGGTGTTTTTCTTCCTTAGTGGTACATAAAATGAGTGAATAGGTGCATCTCGCAATCGAAACAATCATATTTCCCATGAAATGTGGTGGCTTGCCTAAGGTCACACACAAGGCAGTTGAGAAGCCAGGAGACAGATTAAACCTAACTTTTCTAACTCTAAATCTCACACTCATCCTTAATAATCATGCTTCCTTCAACAGAAATTATAATTTATAAAGCATTTTAAGTTTCTCATTTTTAGATCTTTTAATTCAATTAATGGATAGACTATATAACCAAATATATATACATAGCGTGTGTGTGTGTGTGTGTGTGTAAATGAGATAACACTCACATGTATCACAATGTAAATCTAATTTTTTAAAGTCAACTACAAGACTCACATGAATTTCAAACTTCCAGCCACTCACTGCCTCATCTGTAAGGATTTTAGTGAATGATATTGTTAGCCCATCTCGAAAAAATCGCTGACATGCTTCACTTTTAACATCAAGACCTAAGAAAAGGGGAGAAATATTAATGTAAACAAAATACCTCTGGTTGTCTTACAAAGTCCAATTATATGATAAAAGGTAATAATT